TTCTGGAATTTTCTGGATTTTACTGGAATTTTCTAGAATGTTCTGGAATTTTCTGGATTTTTCTAAAATTTTCTGGATCTTTCTGGAATTTTTTGGAATTTTCTAGAATTTTCTGGATCTTTCTGGAAGTTTTTGGAATTTTCTAGAATGTTCTGAAATTTTCTGGAATTTTCTAGAATGTTCTGGAACTTCCTAAGATTTTCTGGAATTTTCTAAGATGTTCTGAAATTTTCTGGAATTTTCTGGAATTTTATTGAATGTTCTGGAATTTTCTGGAATTTTCTAGAATGTTCTGGAATTTTCTGGAATTTTCTGGAATTTTCTGGAACTTTCTAGAATGTTCTGGAACTTTCTGGAATTTTCTGGAATTTTCTAGAATTATCTGGATCTTTCTGGAAGTTTTTGGAATTTTCTAGAATGTTCTGAAATTTTCTGGAATTTTATAGAATGTTCTGGAATTTTCTGGAATTTTCTAGAATGTTCTGGAATTTTCTGGAATTTTCTGGATCTTTCTGGAATTTTCTGGAATTTTCTAGAATTTTCTGGATCTTTCTGGAAGTTTTTGGAATTTTCTAGAATGTTCTGAAATTTTCTGGAATTTTCGAGAATGTTCTAGAATTTTCTCGAATTTTCTAGAATGTTCTGGAACTTTCTGGAATTTTCTGGAATTTTCTAGAATGTTCTGGAACTTCCTAAGATTTTCTGGAATTTTCTAAAATGTTCTGAAATTTTCTGGAATTTTCTGGAATTTTATAGAATGTTCTGGAATTTTCTGGAATTTTCTAGAATGTTCTAGAACTTCCTAGGATTTTCTGGAATTTTCTAGAATGTTTTGGAATTTTCTGGAATTTTCTAGAATCTTCTGGATCTTTCTGGAAGTTTTTGGAATTTTCTAGAATGTTCTAGAACTTTCTAGGATTTTCTGGAATGTTCTGGAATTTTCTGGAATTTTCTGGAATTTTCTGGAACTTTCTAGAATGTTCTGGAACTTTCTGGAATTTTCTGGAATTTTCTAGAATGTTCTAGAACTTCCTAGGATTTTCTGGGATTTTCTAGAATGTTCTGGAATTTTCTGGAACTTCCTAAGATTTTCTGGAATTTTCTAAAATGTTCTGAAATTTTCTGGAATTTTCTGGAATTTTATAGAATGTTCTGGAATTTTCTGGAATTTTCTAGAATGTTCTAGAACTTCCTAGGATTTTCTGGAATTTTCTAGAATGTTCTGGAACTTTCTGGAATTTTCTGGATTTTACTGGAATTTTCTAGAATGTTTTGGAATTTTCTGGAATTTTCTAGAATCTTCTGGATCTTTCTGGAAGTTTTTGGAATTTTCTAGAATGTTCTAGAACTTCCTAGGATTTTCTGGAATGTTCTGGAATTTTCTGGAATTTTCTGGAATTTTCTGGAATTTTCTAGAACTTCCTAGGATTTTCTGGAATTTTCTAGAATGTTCTGGAACTTTCTGGAATTTTCTGGATTTTACTGGAATTTTCTAGAATGTTTTGGAATTTTCTGGAATTTTCTAGAATCTTCTGGATCTTTCTGGAAGTTTTTGGAATTTTCTAGAATGTTCTACAACTTCCTAGGATTTTCTGGAATGTTCTGGAATGTTCTGGAACTTTCTGGAATTTTCTGGAATTTTCTAGAATTATCTGGATCTTTCTGGAAGTTTTTGGAATTTTCTAGAATGTTCTGAAATTTTCTGGAATTTTCTAGAATGTTCTGGGACTTTCTGGAATTTTCTGGAATTTACTGGAATTTTCTAGAATGGTCTGGAATTTTCTGGAACTTTCTAGAATGTTCTGGAACTTTCTGGAATTTACTGGAATTTTCTAGAATGTTCTGGAATTTTCTGGAATTTTCTAGAATGTTCTGGAACTTCCTAAGATTTTTTGGAATTTTCTAAGATGTTCTGAAATTTTCTGGAATTTTCTGGAATTTTATAGAATGTTCTGGAATTTTCTGGAATTTTCTAGAATGTTCTGGAATTTTCTGGAACTTTCTGGAATTTTCTGGAATTTTATAGAATGTTCTGGAATTTTCTGGAATTTTCTAGAATGTTCTGGATTTTTCTGGAACTTTCTGGAATTTTATAGAATGTTCTGGAATTTTCTGGAATTTTCTAGAATGTTCTGGGACTTTCTGGAATTTTCTGGAATTTACTGGAATTTTCTAGAATGTTCTGGAATTTTCTGGAACTTTCTAGAATGTTCTGGAACTTTCTGGAATTTTCTGGAATTTTCTAGAATGTTCTGGAACTTCCTAAGATTTTCTGGAATTTTCTAAGATGTTCGGAAATTTTCTGGAATTTTCTGGAATTTTATAGAATGTTCTGAAATTTTCTGGAATTTTCTAGAATGTTCTGGAATTTTCTGGAACTTTCTGGAATATACTGGAATTTTATAGAATGTTCTGGAATTTTCTGGAATTTTCTAGAATGTTCTAGAATTTTCTCGAATTTTCTAGAATGTTCTGGAACTTCCTAAGATTTTCTGGAATTTTCTAAAATGTTCTGAAATTTTCTGGAATTTTCTGGAATTTTATAGAATGTTCTGGAATTTTCTGGAATTTTCTAGAATGTTCTAGAACTTCCTAGGATTTTCTGGAATTTTCTAGAATGTTCTGGAACTTTCTGGAATTTTCTGGATTTTACTGGAATTTTCTAGAATGTTCTGGAATTTTCTGGAATTTTCTAGAATCTTCTGGATCTTTCTGGAAGTTTTTGGAATTTTCTAGAATGTTCTAGAACTTCCTAGGATTTTCTGGAATTTTCTGGAATTTACTGGAATTTTCTAGAATGTTCTGGAACTTTCTAGAATGTTCTGGAACTTTCTGGAATTTTCTGGAATTTACTGGAATTTTCTAGAATGTTCTGGAATTTTCTGGAATTTTTTAGAATTTTCTGGATCTTTCTGGAATTTTCTGGAATGTTCTAGAATTTTTCGCATAACTTAAGAACCTTGTATTCAAAAGGAAACTACTATGACCCATTTCCAGTAGTCCACAGGATCGAAATTCAAGTGATATACAAAAGAAACGAAATTTTCAAAATTTTTCAGTTCTGAAGATTTGTGATCAATTTTATGCAGGCAACACATAGATAGGCCAAAAAACCGTTTTGCATAATTTCGTGAAGTTTTATTGAGTTTGAGCATAGTTTTGAAATTTTCGATTCTCAACACTGTAGCTTCCCTATAAGCTAGAAGGCCCAGGACACCATAGACATGAAGCGCTCGGCAGTCCATGACTACATACCACACACCACTATAGGAGTCCCACGCGCCTTTGAGTTATTCAAGTTAATGTCCGAGACGGACACACACACAGACACACAGAAAAGTTTCCTTAGTAAGAAGTAGATTTTAGTAAAAGGATGCTGTTATTCATTTCAGCTGATTCCAGTAATACATTTGGACATTCTAACATGGCCAGTCTTCCCTCCAAGTCGGAATCCAATAGAGAACGTGTGAAAGGAGTATTCATGGTCATAGAAAAAATAAAAACACCATCGGAGGGGTCAGGAATGGTATCGTTGCTGTATTGGACAGATTCGGAGCGGAAGTTCTTGTTCAAAATACAAAACCTATAATTATCAAATTACGAATTTCTTCCTTTTCTCCAGCAACTCAAGATTTCTTCTCGCCAATGTGTTTTCTGCTTTTCTCTATTTTTTCATTTTTTTTTCTAAAACAATATACCTTTTTTCCACATAACGAGTTGTTTTTCGGTTGCTTATTCGAAATTTACCAGCCACGTCACCGAATTTCCATTTTTTTTTCTTTTTTTCCCTCGCTTCTCGATGCTTTTTACTATATTATTGAATAGTGGAAATCGTTTTGTGAACCGTAAAAAAGTTTTGTTGGCTTTTTGCGTCTTTTCTGCCTTCTTATGTATTTCCCCCTGCGGTCACCTTTTGATTGTGTCAATTTTTTCCAGAGCTAAAGTTCCGCCAAACAATTTTTGGAATTCGTAAAAAATAGTCGATCTAAATGCCTTTTGAATTTTCAGAATCTGCCCGCCAGTTTCAGCCGAGTTATATCAGTTTCAGTACCAAAAATCGCATTTTCAACCCAAAACAGTAATTTTCAAAAACGATTTTTCCTCCTGTAGGATATTTCAGAACATGAAATTTGTTTGCATTTTTTTATAGAACAAGATTAAATTTCATATTTCAGACATTTTCTCAAAAAATCGAAAAATTGTTTTCGAATTTTTCCACTTTTATTTTTTGTGTATTTCTAAAATTTGGAAAAAAAAATTATGTCTGAAGCGCGAAATTTTAGAATTGAGAAAATCGTTTACGAAAATTGTTGTTTGCAATAAGAAAGCGATTTTTGATACTGTTTAGTTTTCTGTAGATAGCGCACAAAAATCGGAATGCAGATATCATAAGAACCTGAAAAAACTGCAAAAAAGTTATCGACAATGAAGTTTAATTTTTTGCATATTTAATAATTTATTACGTATCTAAAAAACGTGAAGTATATGGGTCAGGCAAAAGAATTCAATATTCCGTGTTCCTTTAAGTTGGGATCTGTGTCATCTGGCATACATTAACGAGAAAACGCTTTTTTTCTTTTCTTTTTCGATCGATATTTGGACACGTGGTGTTCAATCGAGAGAAGACCCCAATAGCAAATTTGGGAAGCATTGCAAATGAGCATATTCATTGGTCGAATCCAGAAGAACAGATGGAAAATCCGCATTGGAAGCCAATTCCGTTTTTTCAGCCACTGCACCTTCTTCCGACGGCTTGCTCTCACTTTCTTACGATATCTGCGATCCTTTTCTTTAGCAGCCCGAGAACGATCTTGAGCCAATTTCCATTGCTTCTTCTGCCTCCTAATTTTTTCCTTAATTAATTTCCTTTCTTCTCTTCTTTTTGCTCTTCTTTCGGCTTTCCATCTACCGTAAAACTCCTTATGCAACTGTTCTAATCCTTTCAAGTACTCGATCCATATCCGATCCTCATCCTCTTCCTTATCCATCCTAAGCCAAAGTTGATTCCACGTCCGAATTCACCTCCCACGAATGAAAAATAAACGGGAATGAACGGGAATTATTTGTAATTCCACGCTAATAACAATAGCGCAGTTAAAAGAATCAATGATTGTTGTGCTCACAATTTGAATAAATAATTTCACAAATGCAATTAAACATCTTGTTTATGGTGTTTTCCCTTCAATGATGCAAATAATCGCGACGCCTGTCGAACGGTTCCGCGCACTCTCTCTAGTTGTCTCTCGCGTCCGGGCACAGGTCTGTCTAGTTCCATGAAATTTTAAGGCAGCTTTCATCCAGATTTTCTTCCTTGTTGTACGTTTGGCACTCAGAGATTTGACCGAGACCAGTTTCGTAGGAGCGCAAGGTTTTCTGATGGCTTCGCCGTCAGGTTTCAGTCCTTCCTCACTTGTGTCCTACGTCAGAACATAAAGAACAATTTTTTTCTCGTATTCAATTTACAATGGTGATTTTCATTAATTCAAAGTTTCAAGATTCACGGCGCCCATGTCCAATCTTCCCATTTAGTATGGTTCGTGTTCTAGTCTCTTTTTGTCCGCTCGTAAGGCAAGCTTAAAGGCTCTAGTATGAAATTCTGGTCCTTAAAAAAAATTCTGGTCCTTAGAAAAAATTCTGGTCCTTAAAAAAAATTCTGGTCCTTAAAAAAAATTCTGGTCCTTAAAAAATTCTGGTCCTTAAAAAAAAATTCTGGTCCTTAAAAAAAAATTCTGGTCCTTAAAAAAAAATTCTGGCCCTTAAAAAAAATTCTGGTCCTTAAAGAAAGATGTGGGTATTTGAATAGCTTTCATGTTTTTGTTTGAAAATTTGGTTAGATTGAAACGTTTATTTATTCCAATCATGTTTTCAATAGTTTTGATGTTTTAAAAATAATTTTTTTTGTAATTTTGATTTTTATTCAGAAGAAGGTATAAGACTAAAAGGTGTGGCATATAAGAATTAGAGAGGATAAATAGTTCAGAACACAAAAAAAAAGAATATCGGTTGCAACAAGATGATCTTATCCGCGTCCTTTGAACTTCCTTCGGCCGGTGAAAGTGGATTTTAGAGTAGTGGTTGTGAATCTTGGAGTAATGGTAGTCGATCTTGGAGTGGTGGTAGTGGGCCGCCCGCGTCTTCTTCTATCATTCCGAGTCTTCTGAGTGGTGATGGTTGTTTGTCTCGTTTCAGGGGCAGACGTCGTCCGTTTCGTACGAGGTTCTGTCGTGGTTCGTCTCGACTGATGGGAAGTTGTTCGTCTTGTTCTCATGGTGGTCGTGGTCCTCATGGTTGCTGTGGTTGTGATGGTGGTTGTAGGATCAGCTTTTCGACTTTGTGTCTTCTTCCGAGGTTTTCGAGTTTTGGTCGTCGTTTGCCTTGGTGTAGTTGACGAAATTGGTCTGTTGGTTTTGATAATCATTTCTGGCTTAGAAGAGGTGGTGGTTCTCATTGTAGAAGCGGTAGAAGAACTTCGACGTTCGTTTCTATTTCGATTCAAACGAGCAGCCATTGTGGTTTGTCTTGTTGAAAATGTAAAGGCGCGATTGTTTCTTTCATTTCGTTGTTTGGGAGCAAATGAAACTCTATCAGAATCGAACTGTTTTCTTTTTCTGAAGATTTTCGTGGTCGGTGCTTCAGTCAATTGATCTTCCTCTTCCTGTTCATCTTCGTACTCATCTTCCTGATTCTTTTCCTGCTCCTCATCCTGCTCCTTATCCTGCTCCTCATCCTGCTCCTCATCCTCCTTCTCTTCGTCCTGCTCTTCGTCCTGTTCTTCTTCTTGCTCTCCCTCCTGCTCTTCCTCAAACTCTGATTCATCCTCGTTTTGGATATCGTCATCATCATAATCATCATCATCATTATTATCACCATTATCTTCATAGTCATTATTGTCATCATCATCATCATAGCCATTATTATCATCAACTGTACTATCTGCTCCGTCTTCATCATCGTCGTCTCCATGATTCGGGTCGCTGGAATCGGACTCGTCTTCACCGCCGTCGTAATCAGAGCTTCATCCGTGGAGATTTCAGATTCACTTGAATCATAGTCATATTCTTTCTTATAATACTTCATCTCGATCAGAAGGTGGTTCAGAAGTTTTTTTCTTCCGAAGTATCGTCTAAACATGTATGTCGACATGTATCCGTCGAGTTGATCTTCTGGGACGCCATATTTCGCTTTGAGTTCCCGTTTGAAAGCACCCCATGTGGCTTCAATAGACTGAGTGTGAACTCGTCGATCGCTGGGGTCAACAAAGTTTACTTTGTGATTGACCCATCTGTGTGTAAACGCTCTCTGGAGGGTTCTGATGCCTCCGTAGGCGGCCCAACCATCGGATACAATCATAGAGCCTGAAGTAGACAAAATTGAGCTGAGCAGGATGTATTTTTTTTTCTTACCTGGTTTGACATGTGCTCTAATGATCGGGAGTAGAGTTGCTGCATCTCGTTGCTTCACGCGGAACATTGCCACCTTAAAAAACAAATTAAATACCAATGAAGCGATGTTTTCCATCTTGCCCATGTAAAAAACTATGAGCTCTGGAAGTGATTTAAACACAATACTATCTTTTATGAGTGTTTTTCAAAGAAATTATATGATCAATAATACATTGTTGAATAAGTATAGCTTCTAAGAACGTTATATCAAGAGTCACTCACTTTATTTGTGTGACGTTCAGTCATGCCAAATATCCAGATAGATTTTCTTCTTAGCATGTGCCCACGGTTGTATTTCGCTTTATACATGTGACTTTCGTCGATTTCGACGATTTTCCCTGAAAGTGACTATTTTATTCTGGAAAAAATTACTAACTACCTGGTCCACCAAGCAGAAAATTTGAATTTTTTTCAATTTGTCGCTCGAACCATTGCTCCGTCAATTGTCGGAAAAGTTTGTTGAGATTAACAATCGTCGAAGTCGTGACTCCATGCAACGAAGCTGTTCTTTCGTTGTTTCGTCCTGGACTTTCGACCCAATCCGCCGCTATGTGTACTATTTTTTGTACGGATAGTTTTTGTTCTTGGAAAAATGTGTTCTCTCTGTAATGAAGTTACTGGGTGAGTAGAATTAGAAGGAAATCACTTACCGAATCATTTTCTTTGTGATGATATTTGAAGTTTTGCATGAAGAGCATCGCCAGACGAAATGTAACGGAAGGGCATTATCTTTGACAAGACTCATCTTACCGTTGAGGCATTCTGGGCACTCTCGCTCATTCGGCACTAGTTCGGCACTCATTCGGCAATGATTCGGTAAGTGATTTCCTTCTAATAAACGTTTCAATCTAACCAAATTTTCAAACAAAAACATGAAAGCTATTCAAATACCCACATCTTTCTTTAAGGACCAGAATTTTTTTTAAGGACCAGAATTTTTTTTTAAGGACCAGAATTTTTTAAGGACCAGAATTTTTTTTAAGGACCAGAATTTTTTTTAAGGACCAGAATTTTTTCTAAGGACCAGAATTTTTTCTAAGGACCAGAATTTTTTTTAAGGACCAGAATTTCATACTAGAGCCAGCTTAAATCTTGGTTTTGTTTGATAATAGCCTGGTTTTTTCAGAATAAATTGGTATTCTGATATTTCTTGTTAATTTCTTCTTTTTTATTTGCAGCACTCTGTAATCTCATGCATGTCAAGGGCGATTATGTAATATTGCTTTTTGTAGTCGCCCAGTTCACCATAGTGAACGTTTACTCTAATCGAGAAACGTTTTATTTATTCTGTCAATCACTTTTTTACCCATTATTTTCTGTATCCATTTCATATAAATTGGCTATTTTCTGAAAAAACATTTAGTTGAGTGATCTTTTTTGAAAAACATCTTTCCTGAACTAATGCGTTCCGCTTCCAATCAGATTTAGAACTAGAACAATGTTTAATTCAAAACACAAAAAACTCTCTACATAATTAACGCATCATACTTGCATTTCGAGCTCAATTATCTCGGTTTCTTTAACATGTTTAAAGTTTTCTCAACTAACTGTGTTTCTCAGAATATCAACATCGGTTCAATAGTTTGTCAGAACACTTTCAATTTGTTGAACGCATACTTGATAAATCAGGGCGCAACACGCGACTTAACCGGAACTTGCCTTCTCTGGGTCAGCGTTCACTGGGTCTCTGGGGTCCATCAGAAGAAAGGAAATTAGAGAATTTTTTCAAACTTTCTTTGTTTTTTAAATAGCACAATTACCAAGAAGTATTTTTTGAATGAATGGCCGAAATTGTAAAAGCCAAGGGCGAAGCCTGAACCGGATCTCGCAATATTTATCAAAAGTCCTATTTTCTTTAAGACGTTGCAATCGACTTTTTCTGTGGAACTTCAGTTCCTTTTCTTTTTGAAAAATGCAGTGAGGAACATTGGATAACGTTTTATGTGTCGTGAAGAGAGTGGCAGTTGTAAAGTCTGAAGAGATATATCAGCTGAAACCACTTGGCTGTTCAATAATATCTGTCCTTTACTTCTCAGATCTCAATTCTTCTTCCACTTTACTTTTTCCCAGTTCTTTTTTGTTAAGTAAAAGCATATCATTTTTTCTTTGCATCTCAAAGATGGTAAGCGTCAAAAGAACATCAAACACACGACATATCAAATGAATAGCTTTTTTAGTCCTTCAGCAATATTTTACTCCCACGGCGATGTTTCTTTTCTACGTCCGTTCATACATTGTTTGGAGTTTTTGCTTCAATGCGTTTCAACATCGTTACCTCAAAAAAGCATAAGCTCTTGTGAACACATGCCAAATAAACCTTGAAAAAATCTGAACGGCATGAAACCTGAACATTGAATATTTCTTTCTGCCCCTCATTTTATTGCATTCCGTTCAATTCGGCTGTTTACCAGTTTTTATTTTCAGTTTTTGGTAGCGAACGTTCGAAATGGAGCAAAACAACGAGAAGCCAAAAGAATGGAGCGATCTTCCTAACGAAGTGCAATCAATGGTCTTACCATACTTGAAATTCGGAGATCTGTAAGTTTTGAGCTTTTTTTCTGATTATTTATTGAGAAAAAAATGAGAAAACCTTGTTTTTGTTTTTTTTCTTCTTTCAAATAAAAGCAAATTTCTTTAGGGTCGATATTCAGCGAGCTGGGCTAATTGATCAAGTGAAATTCAAAACGGGCTATCTCGAATATCATTGTCACATGGGACAGGCTTTTATTGATAGACAAAACTATTCTTCTTCCTTCTTAAAAGAAAATTGTCCATGGATCAAAAAGATGATCATCAAGATGAAAGTTCTTTATTTGAACTTCCTTCCCAAAAATGTGCCAGCATTTCTGAATGCGATCCGGACAATGAAGCCATTCGAAATGGAAAACCTGGAAATACGCTGCAGCAATCTCCAACTTTTTGAAGCAATCATGAAAAGAAAAAAGAACGACCGTCTGGACAGTGTGTGTCTCAGAGGAAGGGGCTATGAGGACTACTCCTCTGACAATGAGACAGATGATTGGATGGAGGATATAATGCAGTCCCCACTGGTAAGAAAGATGTGAACCTAAAATTCTTAATATTTCAAATATTCAGATGGAGAATGTGCCGGTTTTGATGTTCCAAGAGTTGGGGAACGTTGACATCGTCACCAGACTTATCAAGGTTTGTTCAAACGAGATCCCTAATTTCACAATAATGTTTTTAAATTCCAGCTGTGGCGGACCACCGACATCTCAATGAACAAAGAGGCATATGCCTTCAATAAGCATTCGTTCGAACCTCTCCGAAGATATTGCATGGAGAACGGAGCAAGGTGGGTTGTCAGTTTTTCAAGATTGATTTCAGCTATTTTTGTAGCTTTCATCTTACTGATTCCAAATTTTAGCAAACCGACCAGCAGGACCTACATCTTGGACATGAAAGATGTGTCCAAGCAACTGTACCTCGAAGTATTCCCAAACAAACGGGAATCCAGAGGCGTGTTTGTCAAAGTCGTCCCAAAAGGGCAAACCCATGTTGAAGCCAGCATTAAAAACTGGTATGAAATAACCTGTGACCGGGAATCGTTAGCCGCGAGCTATACCGGAAATGAAGAGGACACCGACGATGAATACGAGGAATATGAAGAGGGATTTGAGTCAGATGAAGATTTAACCAACCTTTGAAGAAAGTCTGATAAAGTCTGAATATGAATGAAAGGCAATGGCTTTTCTTTTTTTTTTTCATTTAAATATAGTTTTGAAATTCGATGCTTCCCCGGCTTTCTTTTTTTTTCTTCTTAGATGCTGTTTTGTAATAATAAACTTTTATTTAAGTTTTTCGATATTTAACGGATGGGCTTTTCAAATTATTCAAAAAACAAATTTTTATGATGATTGGAGGACAAATAAAAAATGATTTTCAATTCATTCTTGGTCCATTTTTGCTAAAATAAACTATAAAGTCATCAGTCAAAAAATAAACCTTCCGAAATCTGAAGTCGGAAGCCAAATTGCCTGGCAACTCAGTTTATCATCACTACTTAAAATAAAATTTTGAACTCGTTCATTTTTTTCTTTATTTTTATTCATTATTATAGCATTCTACCATAACCCGTTGATATTGGCCATACAAGAAAAATACACCACGCACACACCATTAATAGAGTTATTTTTTAGTTATTATTCTTATGATGGACACAACAAGTATAGATTTTCTTCAGCTGTGCTATTTTCATCATAAATGTTGATGTGGACCTGCGGATTTGCAGAGATTCAGTATACACTGCTCCGCTGTCTAATCTCCTTATTCACATCTATCCCACTCTCATTTGTTTGCTTTTACATGTGCCCAAATTGCGCTCTCTGATTGGTTTTGTTTCCGTTTTTGAAATTGATTTCTTTTTTCCCGTGCCAACTACCTTTCAACCCCACCTATAGCTTATTCCTGCCCGAGCCGCGCGCAGACAATTTGAATACGTTTTGAGAGTTGAGTGCAAGCTTTTGGTTTATCTTGAGTTCTTACTGGAAGCAGCTGGTGTGTTCGCTTGAATTTTAAGTTTTTCCTTCTGTTTTGCGTGAAATTAACTCAGTTTTGCGTGAAATTAACCCGAATGTATACTCTAATAACGAGTTATTTTATTCGGTCAAACACTTTTTATACATTCATTTTTGTATTCCATTTCTCTGAATTGGCCCAGGTCGGGCCTCGAAATATTTCAAAAAAAAAATCCCATGTTCTTTGAAACTTTGCAATCAACTTTCAACCTCAAAGTTCTTTTTCTTCTTGACAATGATGCAGTGAGAGAAATTTAAAAAAAAACGTTCGATGTGTCGGGAAGAAAACGGCAGTTGTAAAGTCTGAAGAGAAATATCAACTGAAGCCATTTGGCTGTTCGAAAATTTCTGTCCTTTACTTCTCAGATCTCACTTCCCTTTCCACTTTACTTTTTCCCTGTTCCTTTTTTTTGCGAGTGAGCATCTTAACCTTCTTTTGCTTTTGCATACCGAAGATAGAAAACATCAAAAAACATCATACACGCGACATACAAAATGAATAGTTTTTTACTCCATCAGCAATATTTTACTCTCTCGGCGATGTTGTCTCCTTTTTTCTGTTCATTCTATGCTTGTAGTTTCTACTTCAATGGGTTTTGACAGCCTTGCCTCAAAAAACATAGGCTCTTGTGAAAAGATGCCAAATAAAACCTTGAGAAACACAATGGCATGAAACCTGAACATTGACTTTTTCTTACTGCTCCGTATTTCGTTAGCATTCTATTGAATTCTGCCGGTCATGAGTTTTGATTTTCAGTTCCCGGTAGCGGAAGTTTAAAATGGAGCAAAACAACAAAAAGCCAAAAGAGTGGAGCGACCTTCCTGAAGAAGTAAATCAATGGTCCTAACATACTTGAAATTTGAAGATCTGTAAGTTTCATCTGTCAACTTTAGCTCTCAAAAATATTGGCTAAATTCTTCAGGGTCAATATTCAGCGATCAGGGCTGATTGAGTAGGTGGAATTCAAAACAGGCTATCTCGCATATCACTGTCATATGGTAAATGCTGTCATTGATGGAGAAGACTATCTCTCTACCTTCTTGGAAGAAAAGTTTCCATGGATCAAACAGATGATGATCAAGATGGATGTTCTTTATTTGAACTTTCTTCCTGAAGATGTGCCAGTTTTTCTGAATGCGATCCAAACAATGGAGCCGTTTCAAATGCGGAACTTCGAGATTCGCAACAGCAATCTCGAAGTTTTCGAAGCTGTGATGAACAGAAAGATCGGTCGTCTGGACAGTGTGTGTCTCAGAGGATGGGGTTACTGTGGCTACTCCTCTGATAATAAGATAGAAAATTGGATGGAGGATATTGTGCGGTCCCCACAGGTAAAAATAATATACCGTAAAACCTCTAATAGAACGACACCCGAATTTACTTTGAGCCTATATATCTCATTTTCTGTGAGATATCAAAAAGTGGCTAACTAGTAAAATGTTGCTGATATCCTGATAAACATTTTACTAGTTAACCACTTTTTGATATCTTTCAAAAGAAGTGAGATATATAGGCTCAAAGTGGACGATCCGGGTGTCGTTCTATTAGAGGTTTTACGGTAAACTTAAAATTTTCAATATACCAAGTATTCAGATGGAGAACGTTCCGGTTCTGATGTTCAAAGAGTTTGGAAACGTCGATATTGTCACCAGACTTGTTAAGGTTTGTTTAAGCGAGTTACTTATTTCATAATCATAATTTTTGTAATTCCAGTTCTGGTGGAACGGCGCCGTCTCAGTGGACAAAGAGGCATATGCCTATGCCTCCAATCGGAATTCATTCAAACCTCTTCGAAAATTGTTTCTGGTTAACGGGGCAAGGTGGGTTGTCAGTAGTCTAAAATTCTTTTCAGCTATTTTTGTAGCTTTCATCTTACTGATTCCAAATTTTAGCAAACCGACCAGCAGGACCTACATCTTGGACATGAAAGATGTGTCCAAGCAACTGTACCTCGAAGTATTCCCGAACAAGCGGGAATCCAGAGGCGTGTTTATCAAAGTTATTCAAAGAGGACAACGAAAAGTCGAAGCTAGCATAAAAATGTGGTACGAGAAAACCGATGAGGAAGAATGGTTGGCCGCAAGTCTCACCGGAGAAACAGAGGACATCGACAATCAAAACAAGGTAGAAGATGAAGAAGGATTTGAATCAGAAGAAGATCTGACGGACACCGAATTATAAGATGACAATGGCGCTGAAATTGCTGTGGAGAACATTTTATGCCAACCTGATTAATTCTCAATCTAAATGAAACGCAATGACTCTTCATTATATATAGTAGTTTAAATGAAATTTTGAAACTCTATTTTTCAGTTTAATATTTTTGTCACCTTGCGTACTTTTATACTTGCTTTCAGAACATTTGCTTTTGTCACAATAAAGAGTTCAAATAAGAAATATCCTCTGATTTAATTAGAATATTCTGAAGGTTTTTTTTTGAAGACTACAGCATAGAAAATGAATAATTTCTGAATACAGACTTGTTTCGAATTCACACAAGACGATCACTGATTAGGCCCAAAAGTTTATAAAACCACATTGCAGAAATTATGAAATAGAACTGTGTAACTATGAATTCGATGACAAAAACACATGAAAAATTACCGATAGACAACTACTGGGGACAAAATATCACAAGAAATCACAAAAATCGAAGAAATAATGTTAAAAAAGAGAAGATGTATATAAAAATGTAGAGTGAAACGAAAAGGGTGGTTTCGAATTAACACAGACTGGTAACGGGAAGAAAGGCACTTCGGCTAAAAACCACAAATTGTAAATATATAACTGGTAGATAGAATAGGATACAGGAATGATGAAAACGTTTAGAATCTCTCCGGTTTGAGCACAGGCAGTTCACGAACTACTGATTCCCTTTCATTTGGTTGAGAGTCTTGGCCTTGGTAGTGTTCGCGTTGGTGGATCCGAGGGAGAGTGACATGAATTGATCCAAACCGGCAAACGAGTTTCCAACCTGTAAAATTAACTAATGCGAGAGTACTATAAAAATCGATATTTCATTCTGGTAAAATTGTTTTTTCCTGGAAGAGAAGCTTGTCCAAATCGGGGACGCTCCGAACTACAAAATCAACTCGATCTGCTTTATTGAAGCTAAGAATAATGTTTTTTCGGGCTTGACAAAACTTAAGACATGAATAGGAAGATGGAATTTGCCCGCCAAAATTACAGAATATTCCGAAAGTTATATACTTTGCGGTATTTTCACAACAACAAACAAAAGAATCGATTCAAAAACGATTAAATTTGATCACATTTGAAAGTATGGCCTTCCGGGCCAGGCGACCGTATCGGTTAGACTAGCCTGTGACCGGGTTTTTGTAATTACGCTTCAACGTGTTTTTATATGCTTATCTTTTGAAATCGGTTTTTGTACAATTCACCAGCAATAGCCACTCAAACATGGTACTTATTTGGTCCTTGTCAAAAACATAAGCGGAAAGGAAGCCCTTCTAGAGAATGAATTTCGGTTTTCATTGTTTCTAAGCCTGTTTCCTTTTAGAAAGTTATACTGTTTAAATAGGTGGCTTCAGAATCAAAAACTGACTTTTGGCGATGGTCCACCCAGATTGATTTGGCTAGCAGCAGGTTGAGACGCTGGTGGCGTTGCTTCCATGGCTCCCATCGGTTGGAGTGGGGTAGATCCTCCAAATGATGGCCCGAAGTCAAAACCGCTAAATCCGTTGTTGGCTGCAGGAGCAGCTGGAGCAGCATTCATAGGAGACATCATGACCGTTGGTTGAGCCTGAAACGATGAATATTGATAACTGTATCTGAAGCCGCAAATAATGTCAAAATGAGTTGAACAAATATTTTTTGGCCCAGGCAACCTTTTTTTTGAAAGCCTACCATGTGAAAATTGCTGATGGCTCAAGTTTGTTAAAATTTTCAACCTCATAAATGCGATGGGACATCTACTTGATGAGTGGGATAAATGAATTTTAAATAATCGATGAACTGGAACGCTTGCTCCGAGTTACTCCACTTGATATTTATTGTTTTTCGAGCACCTCGACGATGTTGTACTTTTCCCTGACGGTAATCTCAGCTCACAGATTCTCAGTTGGATTAAAATTTGGAATTTAGTATGACCATGGTAGAACATCAGTGTTTTTGGATTGCAAACTACTTCAAAGTAGATCCAATAAGATGAAAAGGCAGCATTTATTTGATAAAATGCGAACTGACGATAATTGGATCTACGGCGTAAACCCTAACTTTTGGGTTTTCTAGAGCGAACCGAACTTATTTTAATGCGTTTTTGGGAGAACCAGATGTTCCGGATAAACAAATTCAGTCAGTTAATGCGGAACCTAGCAACTCGGAGCAAGAATTCTTCTTTCCAAGATTATTCAAACTTTATCAACTAAATGTGTAATCGAATTTATAATGCCAAGCCTTCTAAAGATGGACACACTAAAAACTACAGTTTTTTCACTTTGCTTTTTTTTCATTCAACAAATTTTTCGAAGGTAACACTCACCACTGGAGCTGGTCCAAAATCGAACAGGTCGAGTCCTCCAGCAGTTGGAGCTGAGGCAGCTGGAGCGGCGGCAGTTGGTTTCGGAGTCGAAAAGTTTGGTTCGCACATCTGCTGAAAATAAAAAAAATTATATTTTAATACCCTTAACCAAACTTACAGAAAATAAGTCAATGTTCCCGCCGTTGTTTTGGGTAACAGCTGAAGTTGGAGCTGGAGCGGAAACATCGAAAAGCAGATCGAAGTTGCTTGCAGGCTTGTTGGCAACTGAAATTAAAAAATAATCGCATTTCTATACGACGCAAATAATCAAAAAGATTTCGACCACGGCAGGACTCGAACCTGCAATCCCCAGATCCGAAGTCTGGTGCCTTATCCATTAGGCCACGCGGCCACAAAGGAACTAGAGAGTTGATGCGACAATAAGACGACTAGTTGGGGAGGGTGTCATCAAACGACGAGTAAGTCGGTCGCCGGTTGTGTGACGTACATCGCACACTCTCCTCACACATGTGCTATTTTCCACCAGTCATGTCTTTCTGGTTGAGAAAACGAAAAACTTTCTATTGTTGAGGAAGAGGAAATGAGAAATATGTGAAAAGATGGCTCATTGTTGGTTTCTTGTATTATTGGAGTAATTTTTCTATTTTTCATCTTTAGTTAGGGCAATTTTTTTGAGCGGAACAAATAAAGAATTTGAACTTTTTCTTGTGAGGATGGTTGGATGTTCCGCTTGGTATAATAATTGGAGTTGTTAAAGCTTAAAGTACATGTAGAACTTCACAAAAATTATTTAAAAACCGCGATTTCTCTCATCAACTCAATTTTTTCACTATTGTTCTTAATTAAGTCAATTTGAGCGGTCTGTAGCTAGAATTGCCTGCCAACTTTCGAGCAGAAATTGAAGATGAACTAAGCTTTTTTGTCTTCAGTGCAAAGAATGTCTGATGGAAAAGTTTTAGCGTACTTTAGACATTCTTTATGCGGATCCTGACTTCTCGTTGCAAAAAAACATGAGAAATCTACATAAGAACTGCCCGAAATAAATTAGTAGAGATTGATTCATAAAAATGACCAATTTGTTGTTCATCGCACCTAGTATTTTCTTCAAACTAGAGGACCACTTTTGGATTCCCCAAGTTTTCGAGCTAGTGGGCCACTTTCTAGATTTCTCAAAACAGTTATGTTCTCAATAGTCTACTGGGCATTCCATATGAAAAACTTCAATCCTCACCTGGCGACAATGCTGGAGCAACGTAGCTGTTCTGCGCGGCACCAGATGGTGGTGGAATCACCGGCACAGGATCATCGAAGAACGACCTAGCCGCTTTTGGTGGCTCTGCCTTAACCTTTGAGCCTGAAGAAGCCGACGAGCGAGAGCTGACGAAATCTCCGAATCCATCGTCGTCGTTGGCAGCAGTATCTTTTTTTGTGGTCTGAAATCGTTGAATTGATTACAATCATAAAATGATTCAAACTTACATCATCAACAAATCCGAGTTCCGGCGATGGAGAGCGATTAGCCGTAGAAGACGAGAACGAGAAGTTGCTCACTTCCTTGTCGTACCTCTTGGATGTGGTGGACGACGGGTTGCGATCCCATGAGTTGTCAAAGTTGGAAGAAGAAGAAGACTTCATTCCAGAGGAGTTGATGTCGTACTTGTCGTATCCACGGTATTTTGACTTGTCATCAGAATTGGCCTTCTTTCTTTCCGCTTGAAGAAGCTCATCATCATTCATCATCTCCAAGATTTGCTTGACGCGATGACGGACTGAAAAATGAAACGGAGTAAGCCGCGAGAATTTTGAGTGTTAATTTAAAAGACAGTTTTGGGGAGGTGTTGCCTGTGAGCTTTTAATCTTGTCCGTTGGCGATGAATCTTGAAGCCGAAAATTAATTTGAAGGCGCATCATAGGTTTTAAGGCGTAAAAAAGTGCGGTTTTTACAAATAAATTCATGCGGCTTTGGTCGAGAACTTCGGAATTATTTTATTTTCGGCTAATTTTGCCCTGATTTTTGCTTTTTTTCTTTTATTTTTTTTCGATTCTCATGAAAGCTGAATTTCCTCATGAGAAACAGCCAAAATGGGTCAAAGTTAATCAATTCCAAAGTACTTTGCATTGAAGGCGCATTAATTAACTTTTAAAACCGGCAGATATTCATTCTTCAAGACTGACGATGCACCTTTGAATAAATTCCTGTCCGCAAGATTCGCATATCGAAGAATTGCGCTGCTCAACAGCATATTTTTGAGATAATTTAAAATTAGTCTTGGCTGTCTCTTCTACCCAGTCTTGTCTACACATGAAGCGTATTTTGGAACCGTTGATATCAGAGAGCTAGCACCCTCACCAGGCCAACTCTTTACCAGTTTGTTTAAAAAAACTCACTGTTGATTCCTTGATCTTTTCCTTTCTCGTCGATGTACTTGTAGGATTCGAGACGACGGAGCTCGTAGATCTTCTCTCTTGCTTCCTGAACGAAGCGTTCACTTCCATGCTTCAGAAGATAGTCGAGAAGGATCAAACTCTAAAATTTAACGTAATTTTTTGATCACTAGACTCCTGCTCAACCTTGTAAACGCGTCTCCAAGCATCCTTATTATTCTCGAGCATGCGAGCGAAAAGTGGAGTGTAGACGTTGTAGAAGTCCTCCATGTAGCGCCTGGAATATTAATTAAAGGGGTATTGATTCACTAAATCAGCTGATTGCGAAGGTTCGTGGCGACTTATAGAAAAATGATCAATTCCGGTTCCATCTATTTTTCTACAGAGCCGAGGTTGAACCTTCCTGGCCCGAGGTTGAAACCCTGACTCACGATCTAGTGTACTCCGCGATCTTCTTCATTTGCGGTCCCGTCGGTCCCCACGGATCCTCGTTGGTGGCCTCACGAACCTCCATATGAGGCTTTGGATAGTTCATGATGGCATCATTCCTGAAAAAGGGTTTGGTTTAACTTCAATCAATGTTTTATATTTTTATAGGTCTTTCAGTATCATATCTTCTAACTCTTCAGCTCAAATTTTTTTCTCTGGTCTACACGCTCGTGTTTTTGTAATAGGCTTAATTAAATACAAGCATGAAGCTAAAGAAAGTAGTAAACATTGGCGGAACCAGGAGCCCTCGAATTGTTCAATTACGCCTCTCATTCGATGTGGCGACTTCTTTGTGACTCGACGTACGCTCTTTTTTCTTCTTTTTTTCAGAAAATTTCTGGCAATAGGAGCCAATTTCCAATGAAAAACACGAAATTGCCTCCAGTTTTTGGCAAGATTACTTTCTGGTAGCTTGGCGAATATTTAATAACTTTCTACTTGCACTCGGAATAGGGAAACCGAGCTTGTAGTTTGTTCCGAGAGTGGTAATGAGTTTTTTTCAGTTTCTGTTTCTGCCTGCTTCGTTTGCTGTGAATTATATCGAATTATTCAAAAAACCAACTCACATGGATTCAGTAACCTTTCGAACATATTCGTTACGAGAGATGGCGTTGGCCGTGCTTTTGATGGAGGTGGTCAACCCGGCCAACAAATCCGACATGTTGTTGTTGGTAGCGACCCGAGGAGGTATCTGAAAATTGTAACTTCTTACTACACATCTAATTTGTTAAAAGATACATTTTTAGGCTATAGAAACTACAACAACAGATCAAAAACAGTCTATCGATAGAAGAAAGGAGAAGAGAAAGAATGAAAGAAAGAAACGATGAAGACTATTGTTCTCGCTTTGTGGTGGGAGAAAACAGTTTACTGTGAATCGATAAATGCAACGTCGCACAGTCGGGTGGCAAGCGTTCGGTCGAGGAAAAATGCAAAGACGGAGGAAAGGGAGAGAGGAACAGTGAGAGATAAAGAGAATCAGAGATTGAGAGGAAAAATGAGTGCATCTCTATGTACATATCGAATATTATAAACCGGCGGCGATCGCCGAGAGTGTGTGTGGTGACGACAGACGGCCGAGGGACACGTCGGACCGAACCAAAGGAAATGAAAAAAAGCGAGAGAGTGTGTGATAGTGAAGAGACGCAGACACATGCCAACACGATAGAAGAAACTGCGCCCCAGAAAATGAGGCCGACAAAGGTCCCTGTTTTTGTACTGTGCGGGAAGAGAAATGAAAGAAGGAAAAAAGGGAAGATAGAAGAATGATATGATAAATCTGATGATAATCTACAAAGTTTCAACAAAAATATTGGTGATATTTTCGTATGTTTTTTCTTGAAATACCTTTTTATCATCAGCTAAAAAAACAGTGAATTATCATCATTTTTTTCTAAACCTAATGAAAATTCTCTTCATAGAGAGTAAATAATCAGAACCAAAAACCGAACTAACCGTTAATTTTCTGAGTAAAGCCAAAATTTGCTTTCTTGTTTAAAGTATTTTCCTAGAAACCCAAAATTCCAAATTCTTTGGATATGTATATTTTTTTTGTCTCTCGAAAGTGTTTTTCAAAAAAAAAACCAACCCCTCACACTACAAGTCTCAGTTCTACACGGGAAAACGGATTGAAAAAAATTGTTGTGAATTCTGAACAATTGGTTCTGATTTGACTGCAAAATTTTTTGTGTCAGACATAGTGAAATTTGGAGTCACATTGATCACATTTTGTGATTTTTGAAATGAGAAACTTCGCAGAAAACCTTAAGTTGACTTGCCGAGAAGAATTTTGATGTTACTAGAATTATTTTCGCAAGAAACTGGAAGAAATTGGGACTTTTATTGAGGAGTTAGAAGCTTTTTTCATGAAAAAGTTAGAAAGATTTTAATACATAAGTAAGCAAGAAGTCGTGGTGGCGTGGTGAAAGAAGAAGAAGGAAAAAGAAGGAAGAAAGAGGTGAGAACAAAGAAGTGAACGTCATTCTTGAATCATTCGTTTCAAGAATCTCAACAAAAGCCAATTTTCGAGGGTCGCACTGACAAAATAATTTTTTTGTAAATAAGTCGAGAGAACTTGAATTTTTTTGTATATTTAAGATTCGTCGATGAAAAATCAAAAAACACCCGAAAAATCACTATATTCATTTTTCCAGATACCGTAAACGCTCCAATAGAATGTCGCCTTACACACTTTGAGTTCGATTATCTCAATTTCTATAAGAGGTATCAAAATAGTCTCAACCGATAAAACTTTGGTTATACTTCGAAAAACATTTTATTAACAATTCTTTTTCTACAAATGAAAGCAGAAAACAGCCACTGATGAGGGTTGTCTCGAGACTTCCGATAACCACAGGTTACCCTCGTCCACTTTTCACTTCATCGAGCAACGAGGAGAGAGTGTGAGCTGAGAAAAATATTCCAGTCGAGATTGCGAAGAGAGTTTGGAGATAAGAGTAAGCATATCAAGAAAAGGGCGGAGAAACATTTGGAGCAGGTTAGAGGGGTTGCATATGCATTCGGATTTTCTGTTGGGCATTGGGAGAGGTGAAGGAAAAGCTTTGGGAACAGGTGGAAAGGTTGAGAAAATTTTACAAAATGATATTAGGATTGGAATTCCGAAGAATGCGATTCGTTACACAATTTCACTTGATCGATTTTTAGTTCTTTTTATGTTTTTATCGTTTTTCAGTTGTTATTCTATTAGATCCCATCATTTTCCACTTGAAAAAGTATCTCTCTAAGCCACGAGAACTGATTTTATTAATTGTGTGACAAGCTAACCTTCTGCTGGTTTCACCTTTGAGTCATTGTGGTTGAGTCGGCTGAAGGAAACTGGTAGTTTTTCTGACAGACATCGAAACTACAGATCTGTTAAATCCTAGAAAACATAATTTCCTTTTGCAGAGCATTTCAAAACAAATTTTATTGAGTAAAATACTGATTAAACAGCTTACTGATGCAGTTTAAGTTCCAAAGTGTTCCATTCATCAATTTAAACGATATATCTAAGACAAAATTGTTTTAAGACAAAATTTATTGTAAGACAAAATTGTTGTAATTGTTTGAGGACATGAACATGAGATTCCATCACTTTCAAGAACAAATGATCAATATGTCCTAACACATAAATGTTACAACTTAATCGCCAATATAAAATAGGTCCCGCAAGTCATGCACGAACATTCCGCAACAGGAAATCATGTTTTCTAGGAATTAACAGAACTGTAGTTTTGATATCTGTCAGAAACACTACCAGATTCCCTTCACCAACTCTACCACAATGACTCAAAGCTAACCTTCTGCTGGTTTCAGCTTGTCACACAATTCATGAAATCAGTGTTGGGAGCTTAGAGAGACACTTTTTCGAGTGTAAATTATTGGATATAATAGAATAACATCTGAAGAACGATAAAAACATAAAAAGAGCTAAAATTGATCAAGTGAAATAGTGAAACGATGGTAGAGAAAGCCAAAAAGCCGAAAATCCCTAGTTGACGCTCTGGAACCTCATACCATAAACAAAATTGTATCTCAAAGAGGTATTATATGTTTCAAAGTTGGCCAAATACTCTGTAATTATGATAAAAAATAATGTCTCACATTCATGGCGGTTTTCTTTTTTTCCGGATTTCAGAAAAATCGTCCAAAATCCGAAATTTTCCAAAAAGCGAATTTTTTCGCTAGAATTTTTTCTTCTTCTTCTTTCCAAGATTAAAATGTTTTTGTATCATTTTTCTTGGATGATTTTCTACATTTTACAAAAAAGTTTTATGCTTTAGCTTTATCTTGTTACAGTCAAAAAACCAAATGGGGATAAACTTATGGCCAGCACTGTAGTTTTGTTATATCAAGTGAGAAAAACTTTTAATGTAAGATAAGTTCGGATAAAAATTTATTTATTCGATTTTGTGAAAATTCTTATCCGACCAAGCTGGCAACTCATCCAGACAAAAATATATCATACCGTTAAAATTCGAACAGAATGACCCGTTGGTTTCCTACTTCAAGCCAATTTATCTTGTTTTCGGTGAAAGAAATCGAAAAGTAGCTAATTGAATAAATATTTTTTATTTTATGATTAACATTTTGTCAGTTGGAAATTTTCTGATATCTTTCACGGGAAATTAGATACATGCGCTCAACGTTTATGGTTTCAGGCGATTTTATCAGAGAGTTTACGGTATATTGTTTTTTCCTAAGTGGGAAAAGATTTATTTTGAAATCGCGGGATTTTAAATTTTTTTCTCATGGTTTTCAAGAGTTCATATTAGACTAACAACTTTTTCATCAAATTTCATTTGACCTTGGGCCGCAGATGCCACAGTTGGCAACGAACATAGAGTTGTGCCGCTTTGAAACTGCTAATCTCGCTTTGCTGGGTTTGTACGATGAAGTTGTCAACTACTAAAATGAAGATCTAATTTTGTGTAGGATTATCTGAAATTTTCAAGCAGATCGAAAAATTATAAAACACTTTTTCAGGACTTCAAAGTTGAACACTGTGAACTTTTTATAACGAACAACTCCCAAACTTAACAATTTGAGCCAATCTTTCTCAGTTCCTGTGAAAGATATCAAACAATAGTCAATGAAAACATTGTTCGCCATAAATGTGAAGCTATCTCTTTCTCTCATAAAAGACGTCTTAATAACACTAACAATCATTTTTCAATTAACGACGAGAGATTGCCAACTGTTCAGAGGATTCGTGATTTGGGAGTCATTCTCAATTCGTCACTGACCTTCTCTGACCACTTCGCTACCACACTCCGGAAAGCACACCAACGAATTATCATTTTCTTTAATGTTCTCCGCCGGTCTAAAATGGATATTTTCGTAAAATGTTTTGTCATCTACATTCGCCCCATTCTTGAGTACGGTACAATAGTTTTCTCCCCCGTCCTCAAGGAGCAAATCAAGCTTCTTGAAGGCGTTCAAAAGTCATTCCTGTTCCGATGTTACAAGAAGTTCAACTATCCCTATATATCCTACTTTGATTGTCTCCGTGATCACAATTTAGAATCCTTAGAGTACCGTCGACTTCTATCCGATCTAGTTTTTATGTATAAAACTCTAGTTTCCCGGGAAATTGCAATTGTCCATAATCTATTCATTGTCCCGTTTCATCATAATCATCTAAGACGCTACCCATGTTCCATTCGCTGTACATTAAAAAATGTTTCAAAACTTTCTGCTCAATTTCTTACTCTCCGTATTATATTCAGCTGGAACTCGCTTCCGAAAACCGTGTTCCCACCCTTGATTTCATCCATCTCTTTTAAAACTAATGTAAGTCATGTTATTTTATCTTCTTTCCTGTTCCTAGACAAACATAATTTCTAACTCATTTGTTTAATTTGTAACACATTGATTTTATAAGTGACTGACAGTCCTGAATCAATAAATTATTATTTTTATTTTTATTATTAATATGACAAACACTTATCAGTTGACAAGGTTTTGATACTTTTTACAAGTACTGAAATATATCGGCTCAAAGTTGAATGTAAAGGAGGTTATTCTGGTAGTGCTTTCAATAACTTCCACCAAAAAAGCAGAAATATGATATTTTTGTTCGGTATTGTATACTCATTTTTTATTCATTCAGGGCTGTATTTCTCCTTTTCCTGGTATTTTACCCTGTTTCTTTTTCCTAAT